GAAATTTTCCAGATGTCTTCCACAGAAAATTACATCCAGGTACACAATAGTGTGGTTTGTTTGGAGGGTACACTATTGTGTCCAGCTGCTTTCCTGAGGTCATGATTTTTGATTGTTTCAATCATTTCCTTTACCTTTTCCTTTGCTAAAGTTTTTTCCTTTCAATTAATTAATTACTTTCTTAGTTTCTTTCATTTGATATTCTCAGAAATGCCCAGTTTCCCAAAATATATGATGCCTTATTAAAACCCAATTAAAAAACATCACTCAAACAATTTTTCAAGGGGGTAGTCCATGAGCCACCCTGATACATAATAGTGTGGTTTGTTTGAGGGTACACTATTGTGTCCAGCTGCTTCCTGAGGTCATGATTTTTTGATTTTTTCAATCATGTCCTTTACCTTTTCCTTTGCTAAAGTTTTTTCTTTTAATTCATTACTTTCTTAGTTTCTTTCATGTGAAATTCTCAGAAATGCCCAGTTTTCCAAAATATATGATGCCTTATTAAAACCCAATTAAAAAACATCACTCAAACAATTTTTCAAGGGGGTAGTCCATGAGCAACCCTGATACATAATAGTGTGGTTTGTTTGGAGGGTACACTATTGTGTCCAGCTGCTTTCCTGAGGTCATGATTTTTTGATTTTTTCAATAATTTCCTTTACCTTTTCCTTTGCTAAAGTTTTTTCTTTTAATTCATTACTTTCTTAGTTTCGTTCATTTGAAATTCTCAGAATGCCCAGTTTCCCAAAATATATGATGCCTTATTAAAACCCAATTAAAAAACATCACTCAAACAATTTTTCAAGGGGGTAGTCCATGAGCAACCCTGATACACAATAGTGTGGTTTGTTTGGAGGGTACACTATTGTGTCCAGCTGCTTCCTGAGGTGATTTTTTTTTAATTTTGCAATCATTTCCTTTACCTTTTCCTTTGCTAAAGTTTTTTCCTTTTAATTAATTAATTACTTTCTTAGTTTCTTTCATTTGATATTCTCAGAAATGCCCAGTTTCCCAAAATATATGATGCCTTATTAAAACCCAATTAAAAAACATCACTCAAACAATTTTTCAAGGGGGTAGTCCGTGAGCAACCCTGATACACAATAGTGTGGTTTGTTTGGAGGGTACACTATTGTGTCCAGCTGCTTCCTGAGGTGATTTTGTTTTTTTTTGCAATCATTTCCTTTACCTTTTCCTTTGCTAAAGTTTTTTCCTTTTAATTAATTAATTACTTCTTAGTTTCTTTCATTTGATATTCTCAGAAATGCCCAGTTTCCCAAAATATATGATGCCTTATTAAAACCCAATTAAAAAACATCACTCAAACAATTTTTCAAGGGGGTAGTCCATGAGCAACCCTGATACACAATAGTGTGGTTTGTTTCGAGGGTACACTATTGTGTCCAGATGCTTCCTGGTGTGATGTTTTTTTCAAGCATTCCCTTTACCTTTTCCTTTGCTAAAGCTTTTTTCTTTTATGGTATTTCTATGGTATTACTATTGGATTTCTATGGAATTCCTATGGGGCTTCCATGATGTTTCTATGATATTTCTGGAGGATTTCTATGGGATTTCTGAAGGGGTGCTGTGGGAGTTCTATGGTATTCTTATGGGATGTCCATTGGATTCCTATGGGATTTCTATGGTATTTCTATTGGATTCCTATGGAATTTCTATTGGATTCCTGTGGGATTTCCAAGGTATTTCCATGATGTTTCTATGATATTTCTATGGGATTATTATTTGAATTCTCATGGGATTTCTTTTGTGGTTCCTATGCTATTCCATGTTATTTCTATGATCTTTCTATGGTATTTCTGTGAGATTCCTATGGGATTTCCATGGTATTTCTATGATAGTTCTTTGGGACTACTATTGGATTCCTATGGGATGTCGATTGAAAGTAAATTGGCAGTAAAATGAAATCAATTGAAAGTAAATTCAAAGTAAATTGAAAGTAACTTCAAATCAATTGAAAGTAAATTGAAATCAATTCAAAGTAACTTGAAATCAATTGAAAGTAACTTCAAATCAATTGAAAGTAAATTGAAATCAATTGAAAGTAACTTCAAATCAATTGAAAGTAAATTGAAATCAATTCAAAATGAACTGAAATCAATTGAAAGTAAATTGAAATCAATTCAAAGTAACTTCAAATCAATTGAAAGTAACTTCAAATCAATTGAAAGTAAATTGCAATCAATTGAAAGTAACTTCAAATCAATTGAAAGTAAATTGAAATCAATTCAAAATGAATTGAAATCAATTGAAAGTAAATTGAAATCAATTCAAAGTAACTTGAAATCAATTGAAAGTAACTTGAATTCAATTGAAAGTAACTTGAGATCAATTGAAAGTACATGGAAATCAATTGAAAGTAACTTCAAATCAATTGAAAGTAAATTGAAATCAATTGAAAGTAACTTCAAATCAATTGAAAGTAAATTGAAATCAATTGAAAGTAAATTGAAATCAATTCAAAATGAATTGAAATCAATTGAAAGTAAATTGAAATCAATTCAAAGTAACTTGAAATCAATTGAAAGTTTTTTTGAAATCAGTTCAAAATAAATTGAAATCAATTGAAAGTAAATTGAAATCAATTCAGAGTAACTTCAAATCAATTGAAAGTAAATTGAAATCAATTCAAAATAAATTGAAATCAATTGAAAGTAAATTGAAATCAATTCAAAATAAATTGAAATCAATTGAAAGTAAATTGAAATCAATTCAAAGTAACTTCAAATCAATTCAAAATAAATTGAAATCAATTGAAAGTAACTTCAAATCAATTTAAATCTATCATTTTTTTTGATTTCACCGTATTGCGTACCCGGTACCTTGTTTTTTTTTACATTATTCTGTATCCAAAATTTGTTTGGGGGGGGGGAGGGGCCTCCCCACACTAATCTGTAACCTACATTAATATATATCTGGTTGGTGGTTTCAACCATCTTGAAAAATATTAGTCAATGGGAAGGATTATCGCATATATCATGGACAATAAAAAAGGTTTGAGACGACCAACCATATATATATATACATACATATATACATATACACACATATATATATATATATATATTGCTGAATTTAGTTGCGTGCCGCCTCATAACGAAAAGGAAAAAAACAGTAGACCCAGATGAATTATCAACAACCAATACTAAACTTCTAAACAACTATTTTTGACAAATGGTCATATGTATAAATAATGCACATCTGTGGAGTATCAGCACACTTATTAAACGTCCAGGCTTCCAACTGGACATGGGTAGAACTTGGATGGCTTAAGTTCCCAAAGTTGTTGGTCTGCGAAGTCCCCATTGTTCAAAATGGCTTAAGTCCGCATGTTTGTCGGTTATTTACATATATATATATATACACATACAATGTATATATGTATATATATACATATTTATTTATATATATATATATGTATATCACATGATTTCTGGATTAAATGTCGATGTTTCTTTGCTATGTGGGCTATGTGTCTATTTTCTCTGGCTGCAATGTTCTACAGCGCCAAGTCAGTGGTTGAATCCAATTTTCTGTTGTCTTAACTCAACATCAATGATGGTTCCATGTCATCAACCCCTGGAAAATGTCACCATTATTGCAGTAGATGAATAATATTTCACCAAATTATCCTCTGGTAAACTAACGTAACTATGGAAAATCACCATTTTTAATGGATAAATCCACTATAAATGGCCATTTTCAATAGCTATGTTAGTTTACCAGAGGGTATCTGCCACTTGTCTTTCATTTACTACACAACATTGCTTATCTATCCCCTTCATATATTTCATATCCCCATTGTATATCCAATTCCCATTTCCTGGAGATATCCTCAGGATTAATACCTGATATTACCTGAGCAAAATACCTCCTCAAATGATCAACCCAATCCTGTATGAATAGAATACTGGCTTTCCACAATTTTGATCATTGACAATCCATGAAAATCCGATACATATTTCTAGAAATCCGCGGCAAAATCCACATGAAATAACAAAAATCACAGGGATTCAACGCGCCCATATTGTTATTCATACGACGGTGGGTGAAGAACGAATTTCGCAATGAAAATTGATTCGAATCCCAACACAAATAATGATTGTGCCATTTTGAACCATCAAAGGGTTTTTTTAATCATATGTTTGGTCATAAATGTGTGTATGTACACCTACTATAATCAGAGTTTTATCTCGTATCTATTAAACACGCACACACACACACCTTACATCATATTAAAGTCATATATTAAATCCGTGATTTTACTCGTTTTTTGTTCATCATTTCCCCCCAAAAAAGGCCACCACGGGCAGAAACCTTCGGGGTCTTCAAAGGAGGCAAAGCCCTTGGAGTTGGTCAAGGCGCGATGATGCGTGAAGAGATCCACCTCCGTCATTTTGGGGATCCCCCAATAGCGCTGGATGGATGGTTTATTGTGGAAAAGTCCATCTATTAAAATGGATGATTAACTGGGGGCAGCCCCTATGGATTGGAAACCTCCATATCAATTTATAGGAAGAATGAATAGCACCTATTTGGAGTGTATGTGTGTATATATATATCGATATTATTAATGTTGTAGCTAACATAATATGTGGTACAATCATTGTCATAAACCATTCCCAAATTTTTCAGAAATGGGTTTTGTGAAACAGCACCAAAAAAGCGGTTTGTACCGCTGTAAGTCCTCCCTCAAGGTCGTGCTAGTGCTGATGAGGACACATCACCCTGTTCCAGCTGCAACGTTGTAAGGACCGGAAATGAATGAGGTTGAGTTGTTTGGCTTTAAGCAGGCGGCCATGGCAGGAATAGATTTTCACTCAGCACGCAAATCAACTTCGTGTCCGCAACTAATTCCAAACCTCATTGCTGTACTTTCAGAATGACCTTTGCCATTCTAAGCATGTGCTATCACCGATGCGACTCAAATACAAGATGCGCAGAACATGGATACCGGAATTGTTACCATGAGCTCTCATCCCCAATTATGACAAATTTGAGACGCACCCTTGTGTTCTGGCTGCAGCGAGCTGAAAGGTGATACCCAAAGAAGAAGCCTTCCTTCTACCCATCATAGATCAGAGTAAAGACTCACCCAAAGCTAGGGAGAGTGATGGAGAGTGGCATGATTGTGCCATGGCAGAGCCGCTTAAAGCGGGCGAAGCCGGCTCACAGGATGTCTCGAAGTTCCTGACATCCAGCTTCCTGAAGTCGTATCCATGCCTTTCCGAATTCCGAAAACCACAGATTCTCATCTTCAGCAAATTCCAGCACATAGCGCTTTAAGGAGGGATCTTTCAGCAAAGCCATGTCACTGGGCAACATCATTGCGCTGCCGCAGCGAAATTGTTTCTTGCCCTTGCTATTGGTCTCTTCTTGCCACTGCTTGTGCAACAGGTCCTGAACAGCCATACGAAGCATGTACTTCATGAGGATCGTAAGCATTAATTTTCAGAAAACGCAGATAAATGTACATACATATATGCAATACACATGTATATATATATAAATAATACATTATATATATAATATATATTTTCTTATTTATATACATAAACTATATCATTGTGAAACCCCGTCCTTGAAGTAAGAATTGTCGAACTTGAGTTTGTTGTCCGTCCATGCACCATCATATCCCGAACGTTCAAGATGGCAGCTACCAACGGAGTGTGCACCGCAAAGTGCTACAATTTCCTTGTCCTCAAAGCCCTTCGGATGAAAGATGCTTCCTTGGTGCCAGCTGGTGAAATCTGTATCATGTGAAGAAAGATCATCCGCAGAGGGGGTTCAAAGTCTACTGGGGTATCATTTGACAGCTGGCCAAGCTGGATCCTGTTTCGATATCTTTGGAATACGCGATGATCCTGGATATTGAAACACCAGTTAAGGATATTCCAACGTCCTGGATATTGATGGATATTGTTTCCAGATGGATCATCCTGGATTATCCAATTGGAACCACCAACCGTCGTCCTTCTCCCATGATCCTGGAAGGCATCAACCCGAAACCTCACTGGGAAAGGTATGCGACCTGACCACTTGGAAATGGATAAAAAAAACTCGATAGCTGGCTCGCGCTCCCTGTCAATGGAGTATACCTGGCTGAACCGAAGCAATTCATGTTCAAACAAGTAAAACAAACATCCGTGTCATGGTCAAACCATGGTGTATTTGTGGTCATCCATCATGGGAATCCATGGTCAAAATGAATATGTTTTAATCCCAATCGGTGATGACCATGCACCAGCATAGCTCAATCCAACTTTTGACCATGACACAAAACAATATCTGCATATCTATTTTTACATCAGGAAACTTAGTATCAACGCAACTTACCTGTATTACGTATTGATATGTATTGATATCATATGAAAAAAAAACGAAGACATTTCATGACATCTCTAGATACCTTTGGCAGTTCATGGCAGCCAAGCTTCGCAGATGATGCTCATCTTTATCCGCCTCAGGTAGTCTCCCTGAGGCGGAGGACGCACTCTCCGAGGCCGATAGGGCATCCACGCGGCCGTAGCGCGTGGTGATGGTGGGACCCCCCATGGTTTTAATGGCCACATTGGCAGCCACCACCCACCTCAAATCTGAAGTCAAAGTAAAGTTTCGGGTATATAAATACCATATGGATCCATATGGATCCATATGGTACTAAAAAAGCCCACTTGAAAATCAAATATGTCTTCCGAAGAGTCACAGTTGCCCTGTTTGCGGGTGACAAAAAACCTTCATGTGGAAATATGTGGACATATATATGGTACCCTCTGGTAATTTAACATAGCTATTGAAAATGGCCATAGAAATAGTGAGTTTTCCCATGAATAGCATGGTGATTTTCCAGTTCGTTATGTAAACGTTTACCAGGCCTGGTAAATATCATCATCATATACATCACCGCTTTCATCTCAGATAATCCAGGCGACAAATCCGCATGGGAGATCAATCTGGGCACATACTTCGCAGCAATGGGCCCCAAGAGACTCAGGGCGATCTGCGGCAAACCTGAGCAGTGCATAGCAGTGCTGGTTGGTTCATAGGAAATCCCATGGGAAATCCCCGATTGGATGACATTGATGATTATAAAGTTGTCCCCAATATCTTGGGTAATCACCAATAATGGATTATAGGTTATTGATGGATTACCTATACTTGATAGGATTATTGATTATTATTGATGATATAATACCCTATAATCATCAACCAACCTGCGTTCGCATCCATCTTGTGCTCCGCCGAATCTTTCAAGCGCATTGCTGCGTTGGGGCAGCCATCTACACCTGGCAGTGGTCCGGTCAAAGATCCGAAACAGGTGACGATCATTGTTATTGCCCATATCCATATATATATATATATATACAAGTATAATATAACCATAATATCACTGTTATATATATATGTAATTCTGTGTATATATATATATATATATGAATATAAAGTCTAATTCAATCCCGGTCCCAATAAATCTTCCCATTCTGCTTTTCTCCTCAGACCCAGGCACCATTGAATACACCGGCGTCATGCCATGAAAGACGGATCAGAATGGGCCCACAGTTCTTGTGTCGGATGAGTTTTTCCAGATCTTCTAGCAAGTACTCATAGGTCAAGCAGCGGCAAAGCTTCATGTTCAAGACGCTGTCCTGGAATCTGCTAGCTCTTCGTGATATGTATATATATATATATATATGTCCCATCTGTGACATGTATATCATATATATATATATAATATTAATGGTATGTATTTGGATTGGAAAATGAAACTCTCAACTTTATCAACTGTCCTAGGGAATGTTTAGAAAAAAAAAAAGCAGCAAACGTGGTTCTTAAGTTTAAGTGACAAAATGCACAGTTTTCGTTTGGTTTTTCAATCAATCCCAAAGATCTAGTGATTGAAACCACCAGGTACTTCGAAACATGTCGAATCTGTTTCACCGAGAAGCAGCTTTGCACTTCTCTAGAATCTCTGCCACATTTCCTGTTATGCCATTCACTTCCAAGATGCAATCTCCACCTTAGGGTTTCTTCGCAAACAGCTCAACATTGAACGACCAAGGCGTTTGTTGTTGTTCCATTTCGCGGTGACAGAACCCAGATCCCTAGTGGTATCCTCAGGCCTGGGGGGTTCCAGTTCTTTACACAACCCCTTTTCACAAGCATGTTTCCTTTGCTGAGCCTAGATTTTGCCTCGGGATTTTTAAAGTGCCCTTTGCAGGATTTTGTCAACTTCGCAAATCTCCTTTACAGGTTTCACCACGTTTTATCAATGTAGGAGTTACACAGAAGTTGTCACGATTCCAGAAGTCGTCACAATTCCATAAAAGTTGTCATCCTTTCATAGAATCGTCATCGTTTCATAGAAGTTGTCATCGTTTCATAGAAGTTGTCATCATTGGATTGAATTTGTCTTCATTTCACAATCCAGAACGTTGACGGAATTTGGAATGGACTGCATTTGGAAAGGCAGATTCCATGCGCAGCTAAAGAGAGCGGACAGTCTGGCCACTTGAATACAGTGCACAGATTTCTCATGATTTCTCATTCCCATGATTCAGGCCTCATGAACAAAATAAAGCCATATACATCCATATACCATTCCCCATCATCATTATCAGTGGTTTGGTTTGGCTCCAGATTTTCGGTCCAAGGCACTGTGCATCTTTTTCATCGGGTTCCGCCGGTTCCATTCTTCAGCCACACCTGAGGGAAACTGACCAGCAGCAACATGGCAGTTTCAGGAACGAAAACACCATGTAGTTTGGAATTGGTTGAAATCTAGTTTACTGGGGTTGAAAACAACATCATCTCCTATATATTGGAGTCCAATCATCAAAATTTTATGGGTATCCCGGTATCCCTCATTGGTGGAGAGACTCATTTGTAGTAACCCCGTCAGAAAAGATAGAGTTCAGTAGTTGAGCACTACTTGAGGAAGATGTTACTTTACTTTTTTTTGCTTTTGCTTTAGGTCTTTGGGACCAGCTCAGGCTCAACTCCCGACCTCCGGTGACGTGCATAATGGGTAGAACCTTTCGTTCAGCCATGTAGTCCACATCGAGACCTAGCTTTGAACCATCGGTCTTGACGAGTGTGACCTCATAGAGTCTCTCCTGCCGAGGGGAGACTAACTACAAGGAAGGCTGGGTCCCGAAATATTGTATTTACATATTTATATATATATACATGTTTATATAAAGAACTTTAGTGAACCGAGGTGGTTTAGTGGCCTGGCCAGGAGAAAAGGAGAGTATGATGGGTGATCGGAATAAGGCTATCAAGCAGAAATGGGAAATACGATGGATTACGACTGGTGGGGTTTCTTCACCAAGAATGGGGAACATCATGGATGATGATGGGTATAAGTTAAAAGCTCTTCACCAGAAGAAGCTTCGAGGGGCAGCAATGTTGCAGTCAGGAAACAAAATAAATACCAGTCTCAGTGCTACTGGCATTTGACAAAATAGTTTTTTTTTTTAAGTTTCACACAAAATCTACTCTAATCCAATAACATGTTTTAATAAAACCAATATTTCCTCTTAAAAACACAAAGGTACCACATCTTTACTCAGCCGGTTGCCCTCCCAAAATACTTTCCACTAAGACAATTCATCAAGTGTTGCCACTGACTGAGACATTACTCACAACGAATATTAGAATGAATCACATTCAATTCAAAATTGAATTTAGATTTTCTATGTTTACCCTAAGAAGAATAACTGTTTAAACTTTAAACTACATAAAATAATCAAGAGGTAAAATGTCAGAATATATGTCAGTTGGTGGTAGGTGGTGGGACTCCACATTAAAATTTAAGAAATAATATGTCAGAATATATGTAACTTTTTTGTGCCAGAAAAATATGTCAGAATATATGTCAGTTGGTCTTACTCAATGAGTGATCTCCTAGAAAACACTTAAAACCCTTTGCGGACCCATTTCCCATTTCTGCTTGAGAACCTTATACGGATCACGCATCATACTCTCCTTTCCTTCTGGCTCCCCATGCCACTAAACGACCCCGGTTCACTAAACTAAAGTTATTTGTATATATATATATGTATACATTGTATGTAATTCGTATGATCCTATATATATATATATATTATATATATATTATTAAAAAATAGAGAGATAGATCTTATATAAAGATGTTTTCATGCATGAGTCATACTGCCCCCTGAAACTGAATGGTTTGGTACACAATAGTCACGTTGGATTCTTCATGAAGCTTCTAAGTGTGGTCTTACTGCCCTGGATACTCCTACGACATGGACCTACGTCATTCAGGACATGGCACACTTTTTTAAAATCCTATTGTGTGTATAGTGTTTTCCCAAAATCACCCCAACAAATCATCCAAATTCAGCAATTTTTAATGGGAAAGCAATGTTTTGGGGTGCCTATGCTGGGAACCCCCGAATAATGCTGAACATTTCTGGAGCATAGAGCATTCGAGGCATTCGATGTCTCATCATTTGACCCTTCTTCAGCCCGTCTTCTGGAGATGGAGTAGACATGAATAGACATGACAATTCAGACAATTCAGGTAAATCACATACTAAAATGATCAACATCGATGGTTACCTTTGGAATTCCTTTGGATCTAGTCCTGATCCCACAATACCTGATCCCATCAAATTGCCACATCTCCAAACCATCCCATTTCCGGCCCATCACTTATTGTCTTTTCAATTTTCCAATAACCCAATTGAATCATAAGTCCATAATTTGTGCCTCAATTATGTGTGTCTGAAAGTGGGCATACACTATACACCCCAAACAGTTATCTTAATGGGGAACGTGACTATCAACCACTGGATTTTGGGCTATCCTATTAAGACAAACCCAATGGTCCCTATGTCTAGCTGGTTCATGGATCCATCCTCAAGTGGATCCCCAGGATTTTCCATGAATCATCCAGCTTGGTGCAGAAAAATAGAACTTTGTCGTCCCACATTCCCCACGTTTCGCAAAATGACCAGGTTTTGCTACTGTACATATCTTCGGCGAGATTTTGGAGGCTATGAGGTACCATACAGACCTGAATTTGGAGGCATATCATGGGCATATCCCCTAACTATAGATATATCTACCATAAGTCCACAGTCCTAGTTATTTGAGTTATCAAGCCACACAGATCTACCATTTGGTTATTTAACATAGCCATGGAAAATCACCATTTTTAATAGGTAAACCATCTATAAATGGACCATTTTCCATGGCTATGTTAAATAACCAGAGGGTAAATATGGGGCACCATAGCACGTAACACCTCGGCCCTGTACGAATCATTCGCCTCTCCTGTTCCGTGTCTCCCCCGGCCAAGGTATTGCCCGGCGAGGTCGAATCGAGGATCGGCTTGGCGTCCACCGGAGGCTCACTGCCATCAATGGCCTTGCCGTTGGAGTTCACCCCGTGAATTTTCCCGTTGAACGAAAAGAACCAGTCGTAACAAGTCATAATAAGGGAAAACATGGGAAAACTATGTCATATAGATAAGCTTAAATAAGCATATGTAAGAATGATGATGATAATGATTGATAATGATACTGATAATTATAGCAATGATAAATAGAGTATATAATATTCATAATCATAAAATATCATAAATATGTTCACAAATCATACATACACCATGTATGCTATAAACAGAAGATACGATTATACGATAGATATAATACCACATCTGCTTACTTGTGTATGGGACAACACGCGAGTACCCATGGAAACACAGAATCATTGGCCATTTTCAGTACCAAACCATCCATTTTGCGAGGTCGATTGTGACCTATGTTTACCACCCACAGGGGACCCCCCAAATGAACGAAGCAATGGATGTCCTGCAAACTTCAACCCTTCCCAAAATGTGACGTCGTCAAGTGGAGGGTCAAACTTAGGTACCCCAACAGTTAGATGGTTGATACTAAAAAGATACCCTCTGGTAAACTAACATAACTATAGAAAATCACCATTTTCAATGGGAAATTCCACTATAAATGGTCATTTTCAATAGCTATGTTAAATTACCAGAGGGTACTAAAATCTGTGGTCCTCTGAGTACTACAGGAACGACGCCTGCGCCAGGTCCACTGGATATGCCAATGATATCCATTGGTTGAGTTCTTATGCGCGATTCACAGTAGTTGTTTTTCCTCACAAGTACTCTGGTCATTAAACCATATTTAAGATATATAGTTATGGAAAATAGTCCACTTAAATGATTTACGCCTTTTCACAATCGTGATTTCCACAATGGTCCTTGTCCATCGACTTGTCCATTCTTGATTTCTCCAATTCTCTGACTTTAAACAACCCCACAGGAAAAAAAAACACATCAATTCATCTCATCTTTTGCCGGGTTTGCCCCTTTACATTGAATGGTGTTCACCCCAGTGCTGAGTGGTTGAACCACCTGGGCTTGGCCCTGGGCCCCTGGGCCCCTGCCTCGGTTTGACAACACGCAGTATTACCCATGGCGTCGCGCACAGAGCGCACCAGAGGCGAACCCTGTGTCGCCCTTCAAACAACCTTTGGTCGACCACCAAAAGTGGACAAACGGCAGCGGGTAGTCGGCACGGAGGGGAGCCTCCAATTTTTGGGGCGGCGCTGGTGCTTACACAAAGGGAACTGTCGGACAGGACAACGATTTACCACAAGGTGGTGCCCCATAGTTAGCTAAGTTGGTTTATAACTCCCATAGCCCATAACTATGTTTTATGGCAGATATAAGTATAGTTAATGGGGTTTATAAACCAACTTATAACTGGGGGGCACCACCTTGCAGATTTAGATACATCATGACATTTTTTGATTTTAACATATTTTAAACAAATCCTTCTACAAAACAGTGGAAACCTCCAGTGACTCTGCCTGAAAACCCCCGCTGTATCCCTGGTGGACACAGTGAGCAGTTTCACCTGGTCCTTTCACAGAATTGATGTTCTGTTCAAGTGATAGGAATTCACAATGTGAATAATGTCCAGATGTATCTATGTATATACAATTATACTGGCCCTAGGCATATACAGTTATAGTGCGTAAGTATATGTATATATTTGTATATACAATTATATACATATGTTGTACGATTATCTATTATAATTGTCATATATATATATATCATACTGTGGATGGTTGCGAAATCCTTCACCAACTTGCATGGTTGAAACCCTATAAATAATGGGATGTTTACCACCTATCAACTGGCACAGTTTTGGTCCACGGCAACGTTTCTCCCGCCTGAAGGGCCGTGGCCACCTGTTCCATTTCATATTCCTCTCCGTCCTCGCCGTTCAACATGGGGAATGATGATGAATGATGGGCATAACCATCAGAAATGGCATAACAAACCATGAAAAATGCGTGTTTTACCATGAAAAACATGGGGATTTAAGTAGGAACAAGCAGGAACAATGTTGGAACACATACTGGAGAATTATGATTAATTTTCGAAACATATGGGCTGCCGTTTGTGAAGGGCTGATGAGTCTGCAAGCCCCATTGGTCAACTCGCGACGGGATGCAGGGGACCAACCCAACCCATTTTGGCTGGATGATTTTCATCCTCTTCAGTGGAAAGGGGATCATGTGGTTAATATGTTAATGAATTCGATCAGAGTTCTATAGTTACTACTAGTTCAACTAGCACTTTTTGATGGGATTGGAATCCTACTGAGGCAGTCCCTGCCAATGGTCACTTTGGGCCGACCCATGATGATCCATGTCTTCCAAGGGGCTGCAAGTCCATAATCCAAGTCTTTCGGACCGTCAATGCCAGGTAAACGACAACTGGAACCACCAGTCAGTCAGGGATTGCTGTAAAACCCCATGTTTTTTCTCACACATCCAAGGCTTAATATTGCTGGTTAGACCATTCTATATCTCCCAATTGAGATTGTTTGACCACCTCCATATACGATGGTTGCGATGAACAGCTACTGGTATTAGTCGATTAGTAGGGGTTAGTTGTACCAATATTTGTGGTGGTTAAACAAGTATGTTCTTTGGTGTTGAGGGGATGTCATCACCAGGCATCATTGCTTACGGCTTACACACGCTTGACTACTGATTGGATCATGTTATACTTAAATCATAAAAGGCATAAATCTGGGGTGAATTATAATATATATTTCACTAAGCTGAAACTTGCGGCGACTTGCGGCCATTTGGGCATGATTCCCCTTACTAACCAAGATTCCGGTCTTCGGTCACGGTATATATCCCCCTGTAAGGTGGGTGATACCCTGCAAATCCCTGCAAAAGTTTCCCCTTATTAGCTGATCAACTATAGATGTATGCCCACTTTAATAGCACAAACATAGTAGTCCCGGAACCCCGCATACTAAACACGCCCCAGAAACTACACTGTAGTAGGGGATTAGAAGACATATTTTGGACCATACAATTTGGAAGGGATTACTACTTGGACGATCATAAGACGGACCGTGCTTGTGGTTCAAGACACCCCGGTGATCGAATTCGTACCTTGCTTGGATTCGTGAAACTTATTCCATATATATATATAATATCATATACAGATAATGTTAATGAATTATCAGCTATGTGTATGGATCCCATATATATATATATATTTCTAACTATAGTGAAAAATCATTGACATCATTTTAAGATGATCCATTAAGTTGGCTGATCCTGCATGTATTAAAACAACTATGAAAAAATCCTAACCACTTAATGGATTATATACTAGAAACTTAGATAAACTTAGTAGATGATAAGATGGGAAAAATCACTCAGATGAATCAGATACTCCTTGGTGGCAGGATCCATGAAGTGGAATGATCCTAAACATATCATTATACTACATAGTTGGTTGAAAACGGTTTCCCTACTATGGCTCATCATAATACCTATTGAAATTGCTAGGATAAATCCCTTACATTTAACCAATCAACCGGGGAACTTTAACGGCTCATCTGATATGGGGATATCATCATTAGTGGATGATCCTAAACATGAAGGATATTACTAACATTACGCACAGACCCCCCAGACTG